TTCTCCAGGAGTATAACTTTATTGAAAAGCCATATGGGTACAGATGTAGAAAAGCTAGTTCTGACATTTTTGTACATGAACAGCATAGGAAAACTTTTCCTTTATACCCCCCTGGATCTTCCACTGTCCATTGTTCTCCAATCAGTTGTACTTTATTTTGGAAATGGTCTGTCTGCCTCCAATGTTCCCAGCTCATAATTTTGGGCCTTGGGTCTGTCTCACAGTTCCAGGCAGCACGTTTGCATTCCAGAGTTTTGTCCCAAACCTCCGTTACATTCCAATGCCTTCCCTTCCCCCCTCTCATTACTGTTGTCTGGTAACCATGACCTCTGCAGAAAATGCTTAGTAAAGAGGGCCTGGGGGATGCCCACCCTCTTGGATATGATACCAGAAGAAACTGTCAGAAATAGGCAGTCCTACAAGAAACCTATTTGTTAAATTAATTTGCCGCCTATCTCGCCATGCAGCTACTCTAGGGGCTTACAATGATAAAAGGGAAGACAAATAATAGAACAGTAAAATAAACAGTGACAAAAGAATAAGTACAGCAATATCATAACCAAAAAGATAGATGAGGAAAAGCAGAGACCAAGATGGGGAGGTGGCATCTGCCATCAATCCAGCAGCCACCTCCAATGTGGAAGGCCCCCATTTGGTCCCGAGATCAACAGTGGAGCCAAGTCTTCAGGCTCTTATGGAAAGATAGGAGGATGTGGGCAGATCTTATCTTTAGAAGGTAAGATATTCCAAAAGATGAATGTTGCAGGAGAGAAGTAGAGCCTCTCTGCCAGCATGAGTAGCATGAGCTTGTCCTAGCAGGACAAGGCAGTTCATCAGGTAACCTGGACCTATATCTTTAAGGGCTTTATCCAGTTAATTATTCTATACCAGGGGTAGGCAACCTAGGCTCTTTTATGACTCGTGGACTTCAACTCCCAGAATTCCTGAGCCAGCATGGCTGGCTCAGGAATTCTGGGAGTTGAAGTCCACGAGTCAAAAAGAGCCAAGGTTGCCTACCCGTTCTATACATTGTAAATTGGATCAATCCCAATAATATGCTTACCGACCAACAGGAATGTTGAGGATGCCAACAAAAGGTGCTTCTGTCATGATATTGAATTAAGTTCTTTTCCATGCTCAGTTTTTGTTTATTAGCATTAATTCTCTTTGCTGAAGAGAGCTCCCTTTGCCTGGCCCCCTTAAATTTTTTCAATCATACTGATTTTGTTAGGAATTATTGAAGTGTAGTGTTCTCCAAACCTACTTTAACTTACCCTAATATCATACCTATGAATGATAAATTTGACACTACTTTTAGCAAAGCTTATGAATCTAGATTTAATGAATAATGGTTTGGCCCATTTTCTATGCTGGTCTTTAACAAAACCCTTGAGGACAAGAGTTTAATACGCAGGACAAAAGTTCATGGATCAAATTATTTTAACCTATCAAACATGGTGTTCTGGCTATAATCAGCTCTGATTCTGATGCATGAAACATAAAATAGGAGTTCTGTGTCTGCCATATTGAATCTGCAAACTACCTAGCCTTTCGATTTATATTGTGCAGATGCAAGCATGGGACAGAAGTATTTCTGCAGCATATTTACAGAAATCGTGTACTTTCTGCCCTCTACTTCTCAGTATCAATCCTGCAATTTCATCATCCTAAATTCTTCAGAATAACATAGAATTTAACTTCTTACTTGACTGCAAATGTTCAGGATCAATCTAAAGGGAATTGATCACTTTTCCGTTCTAGATGTTGTCCAACAACTCAGCAGACTCACTGGCTAGGTCTGTAGTAAAATTCCTCTAGAAACATCAGGTGTGGAAAATAGAATTGTTTACCACTTATTGTGGGGATTAAAATAGCATAAAATCCAAAATTCAGTCAGCTCAAAATAAAGTATATGTTCTTCTTATCTACAGTTTGAAGTTTGAATACAATAGTTTCAATATTCTTAAACCATACCATGCTATTTCATTGCATCAACATTAGTCAAACCAGTGTGACAGTCCTGAGGATTAAGAGTAGCAATGGACACAGACCCAGGTTCATGTCTTCCCTCAGTCATGGAAATGCTCATTAGATAACTGCTCCATTCACACTCTTATCAGCTATGTAGCTACCTCATAGAATACATAGAAGTATCTGAGCATGAAGTGCAATTTGACACTGAACTCTCTTTGACCCAACATTCATTTAGTAAGCCATTTCTAAATTATTTGTTGTATGTTGTAATGATTGAAGTATGTGTCAATTGTGCATACAATGATGCACTGAAATGCTGCCTCTGAAATTGATGTTTTGTTGTACCAAAGCATAATGGTGATTAACCTGTGAATAGTATTAATATTTCAAAAACAGAATTATGCAATACAGCCAGGAAAAGCTGAACAGACAATAATTCAAATAAAATTTATTGTCTTCAGTTCATTATTTTAATTCCCAAAATATGAAAGCAAAACTAATTGGAAGTGATTGCCAAAGAATTGGATATTAACAATAAGTATATATTTTGTTTATGAATAATATTTAAGAAGAAATTGCATAGATTTTATAACTGGAAATATATCAAAATTTACAATTCAAAGTTTACAGCATCTAACTGAAAAGAAACATTCAATCGTAAATGCAAAACAATGTGTAATGATCTATAAATAAGGCATGTTATTGATTCAGCTGTGAAATTCAAGGAGCAACATTTACACTGGGAAGGAGGAAGAAAATTATTTTGGTTTCTTTTTGGAACCTCTTGCTGATTAGTATTTTCCAGATTTAAGGCTGTGCATAGCAGATCTAACTTCTCATAATTTTTGAAAATTTTAATATTCATCATGTGTTCAGCTGTCAATTGTATTATGAACATAAAGTATTTATTAGGACTAACATGGTTATCTCATAGTGTGAAATATCCCTTGTATAATAGATACTTGTATAATAGATCCCAGGTATCTATTCATGGAAATAAATCCCCAAAACATGAACACCTATGTCAAATTGACAAAGCCTAGGGGGTTTGTACCAACACAGAACTGATAAAAGAAATCCTGATAAAATCAGCTATTTGTAGAATGATAATAGAACTGCAGTTTCAGAAGTCTGTAAGAACATCTGTTAATGTGCTTGTTGCATACCAGACTAATCTCAGCCTCCTGTATATTGTTATACAAGTAGTGCAAATTAGGTTTCTGCTACTATCAAAGATTATTCATATGTGAGATTTGATACCAAAGAAGCTTTTCTTTTAGAAGCAAAGATTTATATAACATTATCTCCAGGATATAGCTTTATTTCCTTTTAAATTGGTTTTTAAGCATGATTAAATAAATTTTAGTTTTTATAAATTGAATGCATTCCATAAACATAATTAAAGCATGATATTACTTATATAATACTTTGTTTTACTGTATATAGATAGATATGTATAATTTTGACTGCCATCTTAAGATTTTCATTGAAAAAATACTTTAAAAGCTAGTAAAACTTTCATTAGCCTTTCATTCATTATTGAGATATAAAAATTCAAGCAGACAAGGCACAAAAATAATCAAGGTCAGTTCAAAATGTATACATTGAAAAAAAGCTATAAATACGGTTTTATGGACTGAATAGAGAACTTTCTACTTTGATAGTTTTAATTTAATTTAAAGCTACATTGCTATTAAGATACATGAGCAATAATATTGAAGCTATAACTGTGGGGACAAGGTGTACACTTATTTTCACTTTGTAAAAGCTGATCTGTCTTACTGTACTATGAATGGGATTTTGCAATCTTCTGTAAGGAATCTTCATGTGTGCTGGACTTCTTCATACATGATTAACGATCAGTTGGACCATTCTGAAGTTAGGGGTAGTTTACATCTCCCTCATCTTGAGAAAGCAAAGCTTCCTCATTCACCATTCTAGTTGGATGGGATTAATACCCAAACCAGCTGGCTGGTACAACAGAATGGGCATTCTAAATAGCACAAACCTTTTCATGGAAAATTAAATTTATTTCCTAATCTTTTCTCCCAATAGTTGATAAATATTATTTAGGTATGTAGTTAGTTTATTGCAAGGAAATAGTTCATAGCAAATAACAGAGTTTAGATTCTAGCTTTGTTGTCTCTTTTTACAGCAACAAGTGATATGGAGGAAGTCTTTCCTTTCGCTTTTGGACTTGTACCAAATTTCATCTCAACAGCTAGCCTTTTTTTTTTAACAAATAATTTCAATGATCCTAAAAGTAAGTTCTGCATTTATGAGTTGCTGTCCTTCTTTGAGGAAGATGGATGTTTACAAATATGTAAAATAAAATAAATTGATGTAGTCAACAAAACTGGATGTAGAAGCCAAAAAACTATTCATGAATTTGAAAAATGAATAGTTTCAGAAATCTCTGGTTCACCTACCTATCATTAAATTATCAAACTTCTACATTCTCCAAAGAAACAAAAATATCCATTAGATACACAAAGCACATAGTGAGAAGTATGGGATCAATAGCTAACATAATTGCTTAGATATTTCTATTTTCCTACATGGCACCAGGAAACAAAGTTTTCAGAGTGACCCAAAAAGGCAGAAACATGCTTTTACATGTTACATCCAAACAAACAAACAAAAATATTCTTCTCAAAATATGTTCTTTAGGCAGGCTCTGTTATAGCTGTAAGTTATTCAGTGGCTTTAAGTGCAAAACTTTGGCAGTGTGAAAAATACAAAAATTCATCAATACTAGAAAGTGATAATAATGTGAAGTCTGATCCTACAAGCAATGTGGTACACATTGATTTCAGTGCAAGATCAGATATTAATTAATATCTGTGTGATATGTGTACTACATACAATAAACACATAAGGTATCAACACATAGGAAGCATATCCACTTCTAATATATGCATATATAGTAGAATGGCTCTTCAATAAACTTGAGTTTTTCATTTGGAGGTGCATTATTTACAAAATGCAGCTTTAATTTCCAAGAAGACAATCACATCTGAAGATTAAATAATGCATCTTTTTAATGCCTTTAGAAAATGGGCATTTGAATCCAGGTGAATTTAGCAATGACTCTTCCAGAGGGGATTAAAGTACATCCACCCATCGCCCTGAAAAGAATTACAGAAATTCAGATAAGAATCTTTACTAAATGTAAGAATTATCAAAAATATAATACACTTAAGTGGTAAAATCTCCGTTAAGAAAATATCAAGGACATCCAAAATATTTGTTGACATTCTTCTGGCAATAGTTTCCAATTATGTAGATCAGTGGTTCTCAACCTTTTTAATGCCGCGACCCCAACCGGTCGTAAGTCGAGGACTAAACCGGTCGTAAGTCGAGGACTAAACCGGTCGTAAGTCAAGGACTACCCAACCGGTCGTAAGTCAAGGACTTTCCCTGCCCGGGAGCGCCACGCATGCGTGGTTCTGCCCCCTGCGCCGGCTGAGGCATAGCTGGCAAGCGGCAGAGACGGAGCAGGCCGACCACCAGCTGGCCCAGCCCAAGGGAGGTAAGGCACCCGCCAGAAAAGGGGGGGAAATGGCGGACAAAAAAAATGGCGGACAGCCTTGCTTGGCGACCCCCATGAAATGGTCGATCGACCCCAAATGGGGTCCCGACCCACAGGTTGAGAACCACTGTTCTAGACATATTGGAAAGCCTTGCTAAATGGTTTTAATCCAAAGCTGCTAGCATTGGTTCTCTTTATATTCACCAGGTTCTCTTTGTACTTACCAGGTTTGCCAATGTCTGATTTAAAAAAATGAAAACAAAAAAATGGTTGGTGCAAAACAAAACTACCAAGAATGCCTCTGGGCCTCAAATGGGTACCACAAGTCTCTTAGGCAGCTGCAATCCCATAATTTTGTGTGGGAGTATGCTCACATTCTAAGAAACAACTATGGCAGCAGGCACCGGAGAAGTAGCATCCCGAGAAATCAATGCTTTGTAACTTAGCAATCCTTCAAGTCAACATTTTGCAGGAAAACATGTTGCATAAACACCAGATATATCTGGTGAAAAGGACCAAGAAGAAGGATCCTTAGAATAAGCCTGGATAGCTAATAGAGGAGAAGTAGCCCATTACACTACAGCTGGCCCCATTCAAAACACCCCCCCAACTGTTTGTCCAGTATTTGCAAAGGGGCTGCTAGGAGAAACAGTTGCAGGGCCACCAGTTCCATTGCCCAGTCTACATTTAAATCTAACCATCCACCGAAACACAAATTGAATTGACTGGAAAGATTTTCAGGAACATGAGAATAAACTAGTCTCATTGTGGGAACTCATTAGTATAGTTTATTATTTATCTTGGCAGCAGTGTTGGCATCGCCATCACATTTCAGTCTGGGACACAATAATAATAGAAAACCTCTAATTTATTGTGGTGACAACCCATTAGTAGTGTTGTGATTCTGTGCCAGCCTGTATTCCCAACAGCTGAGTCTGGGGAATCTGAGGAGGAGGAGGTGGAGGAGGCATTTGAAGGGCCATCAGGGTCAGAGGGAGGCTGTGATGAATTACAAGACTCACGGTTTGATGAAGAGCCTGGGCCCTCCAGTCGTGTTCCTGATGAAGCTCAGCTGTGTGGGGAGAATGAGTCAGATTTGGAGGATTCACACCTGATGGACATGATGATTGATGCTCGTAGACCAGCAATTAGAGAGAGCAGATCAGCAGCAGTCAATACGACAACTCCAGGGGAGGAGGAGAAGGCACTGAGAGGCAATGCCTTGGGACTGCTGTATAAAAAGGGAAGGTGTGGGCGGTGCTGGTTGCTGAATGCAACCGTTGCAAAGTACTTCATGGGATCATGTTCTGTTAGTATTGCCGGTGACTACTTTTCTGTTTGCATCATGTTTCGTGTGGACAATTTCCTCCATTTGGATTGTGTTTTGCTGCTTTTGTTTCTGGACTATTTGGCAGGTTTGTTACCCATATTAAAAGGGGTTTGTTTTGTTTTGAGTCTTCAGCCTATTTTCTCAATAGGGGTTTGGTCCTTGTGCCTTTAACAAGGATGGCTATAGGCTGGGATAGAACAAGTAGTTCTGTCCAGCCCATATTTCTCCTCCCTTTCTGTTCTTTATATAGCATACAAAATTTCACTCAAAACCTGATAGCTAAAATGTGGTCATTTCTAGCTGCTGGTGTATGTAGCTTTTTTTTTTTTGTTCTGCTTAATCAAATATTTATCCATATCACCCTTATCTCTAAGCATTTTACTCTAAACAGTTGTATAATTAATAAAGACCTGCAAAACTCAAAATGTCATAAAGATATTCAAATGCAATGACTTGCTATGAATGGACATTTTTGTCGTCTTATTATCTTTTCCATTACCTCTTTGATAAAATATTTTGGTTTCCAAAGTGTGTTGCTAGCTGCTCGTTGTCTCTCCTCTTTTCGCTGCCTCTCCTCAAGGAAGTGCTTTTGTTCTGTTGCCACATCAATGTCACCTTCCTTCAGGGCAGCAGTGACATGTTGCCATAAATGCCTTAGATACAGACAGAATGAGAAGGCTTGATTTGAAAGCAAACCTGTTCTAAAAGAGCTATAGGACTCTTTGCCTGTTGGTTTGCATGGAAGGAAACTCATGGACAAAGTCGACTAGAGCCCTGAGGAGATAGGATCAAGCCATAACTGCCAGCATGGAAACACTTTTTCAGAAAAGTACAACAAAAGCAACAAATTTAAAAAAGAAAAAAAAAGAGCAAGCTTCGTATGAAAAGCAAATGTACTAATTTTTAATATTAATAAGATTAAATGTTAGTAATAAATTGGTAATATTAATTTTACATTGCAGTAGCTGTTAATCCAAAATTATATCATTGGACTTCTGCTTATCAAAATTTTTATTTACTTATTTAGAAGATGGATATGGCTGCCTATTTTACATATGTACCTGGACAGCTAACAACAGAAAACAAAAGCATTTAGTTATCTAAAGCTCTTTTTCTTTGAACCAAAATGGTAAGAGTAGATACTGACTCCAGAGGCTCCTACAACATTTCCCAGAGCTATTTCTTTTCCAAATGTTTTTGGAGGATCAATTAAGGCATGGCCCTCAGATTTGCCATTTGGAGCACCTAATGAAAATAGGGGACATGAATGTAGGAATAAGCAAAGACTTGTATGTGCTTGCTCCAATCTGAATATTTACAAACTATTCTGTATACCGCTGATTAAAATGAACTACAGGAAACTATTAAACTGTGTAAACCATGAAGAATACTTACGGTATATTGAAAACATACAATTAGAAAAGATTAAATGTTTTCCCTTATCAACTATTTTATTTAGAACTGTCATGAATCTGTTTTCTCTGGAAACACCATACAATCTTTTGACATCCTTTACATGGATCAATTTATTCCATAACAATTAATAAAAATATTTTCAATTCACCTACAATTAGTTCAGCATGCTCTTATGTATTTTTGAATTCCTTATGAGTTGCCCTTAATCATAAGGAAATCCACAGGAAAGTAACGCTGGGCCATTTTGGCCTAGAGCACGGAAGCTTCCCTATTCCATTCAGCATGCTGCAGTGCATCTATCTAGCAAAATCATGCGCTTAGAAAAATCTTTTTAAAAATGCTGTTTACAAAGAAACCTACTCGTTGATTATTAGTTGCCTTAAATACAACTAAAAGAGATGAGATTTCACCAAAAGAGTTTCACCTTGATTCAAATGGGCCTTGTTTTGATATTGGTCTGATCTTCTTCCGGATTATGGGTAATTTGGTGGTATCAATTATTTTGGTTTCACCACTGTTATATGTGAATTCCAGAATGCCATTCCACTCTCCTTGTGCTTTACACACTATGGTATTGGTTGGATTATGCTTCACTTCTGCTGTAACCCTAGTATAAATAATAAAGGTTTAAGATTACTGACATTCGCATATACCATAAATACTTCACCACAACAAAATTCAGAAAAATCAGTGTAGGTGCTTATGATTTTGCTTTTTAAAAATATATGTCAGATATACTTTTGAAGTAGACAGCATTCTTGATATAAGTTCAGTATGTTTTAAACTTAAATAACAGAAACAATTCTTCGTGCCAAAATATTGATCACATTGCAGGACAAATGTGACCGCATTGTTTTTTTAAAAAGGGAAATAACAATACAATGAGCACAATTTACCAGGATATTCTTCAAAATGAGCTCTACTGGAAGTTTTCATCTTCCTGTACAGAGCTTTTTCATTTCAACTGTATGTATGTGTATGTGTGTGTGTGTGTGTATGTTTTCTGAGGTTTTCGCGGGTGTTTGATAGTCTGATGTAATGGAAAAATGCAGAACAATGAATTTCACACTTCACTGTATTCTGACTCAATGGTGTCTCTATACATACATATTAAAGCCACAGGACATAAAATTGACTTTAAAAAGACCAGAACTATCGCCAAAACTGAACACTTTAACTACAGAATAATCAGAGAAGCCATCGAGATAGAAAACCGCCCACACAGCATGAATAAACGAGATGATACCTCCCACCTACCAGCCATTTGGAAACCCACCCTTATTGGCAAACGAGTCCCTAACACGAAGAATGACACCAGACCCACACTCACGAAAACCACACAGGATGTCACCACCACACATGCACGCAAAAAGCAAACCCAAACCCACACAGATGATGAGGCACGACCACAAACTAGAAGCCAGTCCACAGCTGCATTATTAGCCACTTTAAACCCCTCCAATCCATACATGAAGCAAACTGACACCCACCATAAAGATGTGGCACGACCACGAACACGAAGCCAAACAACAGCAACGAAGCTCACCATCTCAAATCCCCCTGCAACTCAGACTAACCTGAGCATAACAAAGCCCCCACCCAAACAGAACACTCCCCCATCCAATCAGAGCACAGCCAACCCCGCATCCAATCAGAGCACAGCCAAGCTCCTTAACCAATCAGAACACACCTCCACCCAATCAGAACACAGCCAAGCTCCCACCCAATCAGTTCAAACCCCACTGGCAGTTAAAAGGAAGAAACAGCTGCGATCACACATTACTCCTAGAAGCACGAAGCTGAAAACACCAGCCTGAAGATGACGAATGGGACTTCGTCGAAACGTCGCCAAGACACTTCCAATTTTATGCGGGAGAAAACCCGAATAACCAAAGACCTACATACAAACACCCGCGAAAACCTCAGAAAACACACACACACACACACACACACACATATATATATAGTCACAAGCAACTGCAGAATTGAAAGCCATACACAATAGTCCAACCAATATTTTGTGTATTTTAATAGACTATTTTTAGTATTTTAATAGAC